CATAGAGTGAAGAGTCTACATTTAATTACTGTTGTGTGTGCACACCTGTGTGTGTGTGTGTGTGTGTGTGTGTGTGTGTGTCTGAGGCTGTACTTGCACCCTAAAGCTCAGGACCACTGCAGCCCCTCCTCTCACAGCCTCTTAGCATCTCGTGCCCAAAGACTGTGTTGTGTGAACAACACTCCCGGCAGGTGTGTGGCACAGCAGCTTCCTGGAAGACAGGCCCTTGTGGCCTTCATGTCAACACCTTTGATGTTTATTCTATGTACTTTATAAATGCTAAATAATGTTTCTTAGGCTAGGGTGTAGCTCGGTTGGTAGATTCCTTGTCTACCACATGTGAAGCCCTGGATTTAACCTCCAACGTGCATAAAACTGGATATGGTGGTTTATGTCCATGATCCCAGCACTCAGGGTCATCCTTGGCTACATGTGGGAGGCCACCCTGTGCTAGCTATAACAAACCTGCTTTGTGGAGTTTTCCTTCTAAATCTGGGTATTTGGGGCCTGGGGAAATGGCTCAATGGGCAGGTGCTTGCTGTAAGCGTGGGGACGTTAATGAATTCAGACCCCCAGCACCATGTAAATTTGCCGTACGGTAGAGTGTGCTTGTAAGTCCAGCACAGGGAAGTGAAGACCAGCAGAGACCTAGAGTTCACAGGGAAGCCAGTCTTACCTAACTGGTCAGTTTCAGATGCAATGAAGAAATCTGTCACAGAAAGAAGGTGGAAGGTCATGGAGACGGCTCAGCAGGTAAAGGCACCTGCCACCAGGCCTGATCACCTGGGTTCCATCCCCCAGACCCATGTGGTGGGTGGTTCAGCCAAGTCTGACAACCTGAACGCTATCCAGGACCCACATGGTAGAAGGAGAGAACTGACTTCTACAAACTGTCCTCTGACCCCCGCGGGCTCCCTGTGGCACAAATATGCATATATAGACACACACAGCACACACACAATAAATAAGTGTATAAAATAAGAACTGAGTGAGTGTTCCTAAAGCTGGCTTCCCTGCACCTGGGCAAACAACAGTGGTTATTGCCCAGCCAGAACCCTGGCCTCCTTTTGGAAAAGCCTAGGGTCTCAGCTTCTCTCTCTCTCTCTGCAAGCTGCCTTCCAGGCTGCAGCAATTGCTTAAGTCTGTGCTGCAATCCAGAGAGTGCAGGAGTGGGAAGTCCAGAGTTCTCCCTGCTTCTGGGAACAGCCCCCATCCCCCTCCCAGCACAGCTTCCACAGGCCGTCCTCATGAGAGTGGGTCAGGCTCACCCGAGGATTTCACAAACGCTGGCCTGTTCCCAGCACAGCACAGCTGGGAGGGCTCAGTGCTTAGGGCGAGCAGCCTCCTCCACAGCCCCTGCTATCCTTGGGCTCAGGGCCTCTGGGTCTGGAGCCTGGGGACTGGAAAGGGCTGTGCCTGTCCAGGCTTGCCACAGCTGTGGTACGCCCCAGGCCTTCCCTTCCCACTTCACTTTCCAGCCTGGGCTTAGTCAAGGTGCTAGGAGGAAATTCCCTCTCCAGGAAGAGCGGAAACACAGACTTGCCTTCCCCAAAGTGAGCAGCAGGTGGGTCACCCAGGAGGACCTGGAATTCTCAGGCTCCAGGTCTCGCTTCTGATTCACAAGAGTTTCGAGTTGCGGTTGGATTCCAGGAATCAAGCAATTTTTTTCTACACCCCCTGGGGACCAGCCTTGGTTCTCTTTGCCTTTAGGTCTGGGAAGCACTAGGAGAGTCTAGGCAGACTGAAATAGTCTCATTGATTCTGTCTACCCCCTTCCATGATCCTGTAAGGATGGTCCCTGGATTCAGGGTCTGAGTTTCTCTACCAGAACACATAAATATGTTCTGACTGGAGTTAGTGCCTTTGTCAAGCTATGGGGGTTATTAACCAAGCCAGTGGCTTCCCGTGGCAAAGTTCTGGATATGCGGTGAACATTTGATCTGATCGCACAAACGGCAGGCCTTACTTATTTAATTTACATGCTTAACTAGTTTATTGTTGGCTTTCGCAAACTTAACTTCTGGGAGCAATGGGGAGCCAAACCCCAGCAGGCCTCGTCTTGCCGAACTCTAACTCCCCTGGACCTAGAACATTCCCTGAAACACAGGATGTGTTGGGCAGATATTTGCTGAGTGGACGAATAAGCGAAGGACACGGGGAGGGAGCAGCCGGGCTCCCTGGATGGAAGGGGAGGGCAAGCTTTGCTCTATTAGCCTGGAAGGTGTTCTCGAGTCCGGCGGGGCCAGAAATCATGAACCATCCTTGGCCGGGAAAGAAGTCAGAGCTTTCAGTGTCGCCTCCCGGGGGTCAGTGACCCTTGTGACCAATGACGAGCTCCCCCCACCACCCGACACACACCCAGGGAGGTGCGCCCGGCCGCCACCCGGCCGAGTTTCCTGGCACCGGGCTGAGAATAAACAGCGCTCAGCGCCTGTAATCCGGTTGCCGTGGCGACGGCGCTGCGCGGGAGGGGGCGTGTCGGAGGGCGTGGCTTGTGGACTAGGAGTGGGCGTGTTGGAGGCGGGTCCCAAAGGGACCGCCCTCCCGGCGCTCAGCTCGGACATTCTTCGCATAGCTGCTCCTGGGCTCCCGCGGTGGCCGGGAAGTGACTCTTCCTGGCAGAGGGCGGCTCGAAGCGCAGAGCCTGAAACCGGAGGAGAACGGGCGGGGCGCATAAAGGGGCTCTGAGGGGGCTCTAACCACCCTGGGCCTCGAGGGCATACCTCAAGCCCCCTTGCGTGTTGCTCACCATCACCCAGCCAGGGGTCCTGGGGTGTCTCTGCTCGGGCTGCCTTGCTTCTCAGCGCCTCTGCGGTACCCCCTTCCTGACTGACATCTTTACTCATTCCGTACACTAGGACACTTCGTGAAGGCTTATTTTCCGTCGCCAGCTCCCTGTCTGTGGCCTCCCTCCTTCCCCACGAGCAGGCCTTGGATTTCCCATTCCTGGCTCAAGTCTTCAGGAGGCATGCCCAAAGCAACACCAGGAGGGAGAATAGGGCCTCTCGGGTGGATTCTTGTAGAGCTACGAGCAGGGTAAAAGAGTACAGGGTAGGGAGCTGCCTCCCCCCTTTCTGGGGCTCAAACCGCATGGAATTGCCCCACTGTCTACAAGCCCTTTATGGAGCATTTGGGAGCCAGGAGCACCCCTCTTCTGGCAACCAGGACCCAAGTCCCCCACCAGGACTTTTGGAAAAGGAGAGTTCTACCCGGAAAGGGCCGAGCCACAGAAGGGCTATGTGACAGGGACTGGAGGAAGAGAGAGGAAAGAGGCACTGGCCAGGGACCCTCTAATTTGTCGTTCTGCTGCTCTGAACTGCATTTCCCAGGCTGGGATCTGAGCTGGAGATCCAGAAGTCTAGGGGGGCAATGAGTTGCAGGCAGGGAAAACAAACCCCTTCTTTGTTCTGAGTCTCCCCGAACCAAACTGAGCCTCCAGGAGGAAGGCAAGAGATAGGACCCGTGTCCTACGAACACACACCGGCACCAACACGTGGCCAAACAGCCGGCTACCTTCAGGGTCAAGGACTGGGGCCAATTGCACGGCCAGGTTCCCTGGTTCCATGGAGGCTGTAATATCCACAAAAGTGGCCCTTGGCAGCAAGTGGCAAGTGGATGCCATTGGGCAGGCTTCAGGACCCTTGTCCTGAGACACTGGGGACTCTGGGAGAGATGTGGTGGTTCTACCTTAGTGTGCAGTCCTGGTTCCAAAGTTGACAGTCTGTCTAGTGTGGGTCTGGCATGCTGTCCGCACTGGTCTCAAGCCTGGTCCGCTCCTGTATCTCTTTAGATCATTTCCCCCCCGAGGCCCAGGAAACGGACAGAAAGGGCCTTGTTTATTCTTCCAGTGGCCTTTTAAACACTTGACTCTTGGAGCAGCTGTTTATCAGGTGCTGTGGGACCAAAGGAAGCTCTGGCAGCTCGACTTCAGGGCGCTTATCAGACAGGGAGACTGAGGAGCCCTCAAGCCGGGATCACACTCCTCTCAGAGCTCCTTGGGTCTGGGTAGCAGAAGGAAAACTATCACACAAATGGTGTTTGTTTTCCTAGCAGAAACTTATGCTAACCGTGTGTGTGTGTGTGTGTGTGTGTGTGTGTGTGTGTATTAGAGACAGAGAGAGAGAGATACCAAACACTCGGCTTTTTAGGAGACAATGTGGGAGACCAGACGCCCCTCAGCCCCAATCCTTTGTTGTTTCTACATTCCTGGGTGCTGTGTCCTAGGCAGGTTGCTTAACTTCCCTGAACCCGCGTCTGCCCCAAGACCAATGGATAAATATTTACGCTCCACCTCTCTAGGCACCAGAAATGACGAATTCAAGTTGTGCCGAGTCCTGCTCATGTCGAAGCACAGCTGTCTCATGGGGGTGCTGTCAGGCAGCCTCTTTAGTGCCCAGAGGTAGACTAACAGTGAATGGACTGGTATTTTCCAGGAGCCTGGCTGGTGGTCCATGGCCCAGGGAGGACCTTCAAGAATAAAAAGATGTGTCTGTCTGGAGGAGCATGGCCAGAAAGGAGCCATTAACACCTGCCCCAGGGCTCCACCTGCCTTCCAGCCTTGTGTGGGGATCACCCTTCCCCCCACATGCTGTGACATCATCTGTGACGCTGTGCTGAGGTCACGAGTCACCATCAGGACCCCACATCTAGGCTTTCTCGGAACACCTCCCTGCCAAGCAGCCCAGCCAGCAAGCGCTAATAGCTTGGAGCCTCTAACAGCTTCTGACCACAGTGCAGCCTGCTCCCTGCAAGCCCTTTGAAGCCCGCACTTCCTTCGCAAACTTGCTTTGCATATTCTGGTCAGAGCTGAATCAGACTGGCAGGAATTAACCATCGGTAGCAGCCTAGGTGGCTGCCAAGGCTTTGCCAGTGACAGAGGAGGGCTGCTGGGGATGTGACTCTACCTCAGAGCTGTGGGTAGGGACCCAAGAGGCACAGCCAGTCCCCTCCCTTCATCCCATTGTGAGGGCAAGAGGAAACCAGGGAAAGAAGGCTGGAGTCGTTTTTTTTTTCATTAAAAAATAGTGCTCTTTATTATAAATTACTGAAATGTTTCTTTTCTGAGTATAAATATAAATATATGTGCAAAGTCTGAGTTGAACTGGGATTTGGTTGAGTTTTTCAAGCATCTTCAAACAGCCTCAAAGGCCTGAATGGGGAGAGGGGCGGGCTGGAGGTGGATCTTTATAAAAGTGATTGAGGCAAATTGTAAACATTATTCAAAACAACACAGAGAGCAAAAAGCCACCCCAACACACAGCTGCCCCACCCAGCCCCATACCTGACTCAGAAAACTTGGTTGTTTCTCCCCAAAACAAGACCAGTTCCAGGTAATTCCATGGCTGCTGCATTCCTGTGAGTGACCACTGCTGGGTGGCAGGTGAAGGTTTCTCCATCACCTCCTGCCTCCCCCTTACCCCAGGTGAGGAGGGAGGCCCTGGGACCTGCTGATCCCGCTGACCAAGAGGTGCTTAGGACTGGCCAATTTCTTCCCAGTGATCACCCAGGAGTCTCCTGCGTGCCAGGGTCTCCTCCCTGCACCCACTCCCCCTGGCCTGCAGCCACAGGGGTAAATCCCTCAGCTCCTCTGCCTGTTGGCTGTGGTTGGCTGTGTTTGGCTCCTCACGTGCCAATCCCTATCCATGGGACAGAGGGCATTTAAGGCAAGTCTCCTAGCAGGACATAGGAGAAGCAAAGAGTCCCCCATCATGTCTAAGGAAACCTGGGCCCCAAGGTGGCTCATCTGTTCAGCTGTCCCCCTCTGGCGTGGGAAAAGGTGGCCAACTGACCCATCCTTCACGTGCCATTGACTCTTACAACGGGGAGGGCTCTGGGAGGTTTCATTAGCTGCCCCAAGAGAGAGAAGCCTGGCACCAGAATGGCTCTCAGCAGGTCACCCCTTGCCTCTCTCCCCAGAGCCAGGAACCACCAACTCCCCACCTAGGCTGGGCAGTGCGTGGTCATTTCTTTGGCCAGCCTGCCGCCCTCTCACACCCTCTTTCTTCTCTTCCGTCTTTCCCCCAGGCCTGGCGCCCACTCAGGATTAAACCAAATCAAAGCACAAACAAGTTCCGTGGGAAAGTTTGAAGATTCCCCTGCAGTTCTCATTAGTCCAACACTCGAGGTGTCCTCCCACCCTCCCTCCGCTCCCTTGGGAAGCAGAGGGGATGTGGAGGAAGGGAAGAAGAGGAGAGTCCACTTGTCAATGCTACTGTCCCACCAGGCCAGCTGGCTCCTCTTGAGAGAGAAGCTGGAGCCAGGGAAGGAAAGCAGGTGGCAACTCCCCCTCCCCTCAGACACATTCCGGGTCCTGCCTGCCCCGCTCTGCAGAGCGGAGGGCCGGAGGGGAAGCCTACCTGCCCCTGGCTCACTGAGAGCTACCGACCATTGGGGCTGGATTTTTGTGCTTGTGCCATGTGCGGCGGAGGAGAGGTGGCCGACGTAGGCCCCCCTCTAACCCCTTTGCTCTTTAAAGCGGAGCATCATACTGGTCCAGGAACTCCCGAATGGGTCCAGGCAGCTGGGTCACTTTCTCATAGGAGTCCAGGTGGCCATTGACGGTCTTCCTGCAGAGATGCTGGAGGGTGGCCACGTTGGAGGAGAGAGGTCGGCTCAGTACCAGCGGAATCTTCTCGCCCCCAGAATAGATGTAGTAAGCTCTCTTGGGGGTACTCCCGGGGAGCGCCTGGGCGGGTGGTTGCTCCGGCACCTCGGAGGAAGGTTCCGTGGGTGGCAAAGAGAAGGAGGAGGTGGCCGGGGGCGGCATGTAGTGGTGCACCAGCTTGAGTACACAGTCGAAACGGGGCACTGGCTGCGTGCTCCGAGGGTCACTCTGCAGCGAAAAGCTGCCCCCCTCACACTGGATGCGTAGGTTCTTGGTCCCTGACTGGGTCTTGACGCTCAGCGTGAAGAAGTGGCGCTGGTCCGAGCTGTCGCGGATAAGAAAGGTGCCCGCGGGCTCGGCGCTGAGCAGCAGGTTCGCCTCGCCGCCGGTCACGGCGCTCCAGTAGAATCCGCTCTCCTGCAGCTTGCGCACGGCATTCACCACCAGCTGGTACTCGCTCTTGGAGCTGAAGGTCTTGAGGCGCAGGCTGGTGTCCAGGGGGCGGCTCATCCCGGCGGCGGGAAACTTGCTGTGGGTGACCATGGCGCACGGAGCCAGCGTGGATCTGCGCGGCGGTGGCTGCAGCTGCTTCGCGGCCTCCGCACAGCGGCCGCTACCGCATCCCGGGGGGCTGCGGAGAGAAAAGCGCCCAGAACGTGAGTGCCCGGAACCCTCCAGTGCGCCCGGGGCACCTGGTTGCCCCGCAGAAGGCCGTGTCTGGGACCCAGCCACCTCGCGGGGCTCTCCGGCCTCAGTCCCTGTCGGCCAACCCCAGACAGTCCCTTCCCCAGACGCCCCGGGAGAACACCCGAGAGAAACTCGCGAGTGGAAGTTGGGTCTCCAGGGGCACCGCCAGGTTGGGGAGCGAGACAAGAGCCCCAGGGACGCTCAGGGCGTCGCTCAGTCCGGTGTCCTCAGTGGCGAGGACGAAAAGGGGGGTGACAAACCCGAGATATGTGGGAGAGGGAACTGGAGAAGCCCATGGGCCCCAGTCCGAGTATTACGGGAACCCGGGATCTTCGGCTCCCATCCGCTCTGCCCCCTACCTCGTCCCCTCCCTACCGGGAATGACCCGGGAAGGGGAGGAGAAACCGGGAAAAGCTCCCGAGCTGGATCGAGGCCCCCACCCTTTGCCACACCGCGCCCCTCCTTCCTACCTAGTCCCGTAGCGAAGTCTCGGGCCTTGGGGCTGAGCCTCCTACGGTCCCCAAGGCGAGGCGGCGGCCAGCAGTGGCCCGCGCTGCGCCCAGATGTTGGCGGTCGTGAAGTCCACAAAGGGGCTCCCAGTGCGTGCGTCCCCTCTGGCTTCGCTGCACCCGGGGCCGATCAGGCGCGCCCAGGGATGGATCAGGCAAAGGACCCGGACGAGGGGCCACGACAGAGAGCTGGGCCGGGCAGGGGGCGTCCGGGAGCCTGGAGAGGCAGCGGTGATGAGAGCGAGAGAGCCGGAGAGCCGAAGAGTCTGAGTTAGAGCCGCCGGCGAGGCCGCGCGCGCGGGTATTTACGCGGCCAACATGCCCCGCCCCCCGATTCCTGGAACTGCGCGGCCGGTCTTCTTGTAATGTTTAGTCACTACTCTGCACTGAAAGGCTGTGCGCGGAGGGCGAGGGAGGGGCCGCGGGCGGCCGAGGGCGGGCCTGGAGCTGGGGCCTCCAGGACCCGCCGAGACTCACGGAGAGGGAGACAAAGCGCGGCGCGAGGCTGCCCGACCGGCGGGCGCGGCGCCAGCTTGGCCGAGCGTTCCTGGCAGCGGCCCCTCCCCCGCGCGCTCCGCCCCCAACTTCTCATTCACACTTTCCCCCCACCCCCTCCCTTCTAAGAAGGCTGGTTTCTGGCAGAGGCGGGGGCTCCGCGATGGGAGCGCGCGGGCAATTCTAGGAGGTCGGCCCGGAGAGGCTCCCCGGCACCCCTTTCCTTTTTCTTGGACCCTGGGTGGGGACGCTCCCCTCGCTCCCACCCAGGCTACCCCTAGGTCCTCATTTGCAGTTCCAAGCAGCCCGTGTCAGCCAAAAGGGATATTGGGCTATTCCTCAGCCAACTCACTGGAGACCTAGGAAGTGAAGGGGGGGGAGTTGGGGGAGGGATGCGCGACAGTGACCTGTGGACAGGTCCAAAAGATGAAGCTGGGAGATCCAGCAGTGGAGGAGGTACCGGCTTCGAGGCAGCTACGGGGCCTCGGCTCACCGGCCCACTGCCTGATTCCTTGGTGACAGACGTGGGTGCTGATACCCAGTAGGTGGAGGAAGCCGTTAACTACCTACCACCCTATCAATCATCTGGGTCTCCCAACCTGCCTGGTGAGCTGGATCGGTCCAGGTGATCTCGGCGCCGCGAGGGAGGAAACCATGACCCCCCAGGTCGCGCCCGAGTCCGCTAGAGGGCGCACTGGAGTCTTGTAGGTGAGCAGAGTTTTGCTGTTTCCCAGGCCCTAGAGAAAGGAGAGTTTGTGGGACTCCTCATTCAAGAAGAGAAGTGGGCAACCTGAGAGAGAGGCGGGTCACCTTCCAGGCCAGGTTGAAACCTGAAATAAATGTCGAATAGGCAGAAAGTCCACAGACCAGTTGTTACGGATTCAGCCCACTGCCAAGTGGCCACTATGGTGTTAGGATGGACCTTCCCTTGCTCCTAAGAGTTAGGGTATCTGAACTTTCCAGGGGTTGGGGAAAGAGGAGTATTAATAAGAGCAGGTGATTGAGGTGAAAGGTTGACTTGCTCCCGGTCACGTGAATACCTATAAAGGCCTCGCGGCAAGTTTTGCAACAGGCAGCAGGGTGCTGGAGCCGCCTGAGAACCAGCTAAGTGAGCCCAGAGAGGCTGCTCTCGGTGGTTCTGCCCCGCCCTCTTAGATGCCACAGACTTCGTGTAAGACTAGTCTTACACTCACACTCAGCGGGGAGCGTGCTAGCTACACGCTACACACACAGGATCTTGGGCTTGAGGAGAGGACTACCAGCTTCCCTTCTTGCGGAACTGGTAGGCGCCTCATTATCTTGGCCCGCTGTGTCCGGTATGCTTCCTGATGATGGGGGACTGATTATACTCAGGCAGAAGCACAACCTCTCCGGGCTCAGACTCGTCTTCTGTTAAATAGGAATGGGTATAGTGATGCACCCACCCCAGAAATCCCGGTCCTCAAGAGGCTTTAGGGGGCCTTGTTTAAAATATCTCACAGACCTGTGATGACAGACCAGACCTTGTTCACACATGGAAATATCTTGTGAGAGCCGGTCCTTGTCTTCAAGACACTTGCCGCTCCTGAAATGGATTCTCCCTTTCTCCGTGAACAAACCCTGCTTCACCTCGTCCAGGGAGTGTTACCCAGCAGCCGCCTTCTGTGCTGAGGGCAGTAGAGGACAGGGAGGACTCTCAGGAAATAGCCGTGGAGTTAATGGAAGGGAAAATGCTTTGTAAATGACAACGCCCAACACAAGCCAGGTTCATTCAGCCGTTCCACAAACCCTCATTTTGTGCCTGACCCAATGAGACACTGTGGTGGTTCCTGGGGTGGGGTAAGAAGGAAATAAAGAGCGGAGAAATGGCCTAAGAGCACATGCTACACTTCCAGAAAAGCGGGCTAGTTCCCAGCACCCCTGCAGGATGGATCATCACGGCTTGACCTTCACAGGAACCAGCTGCACTGATGCACACATGCCACCTCCCCCCACACATACATAACTAAAATCAAACAAATCTTGTGAGAGTGCATGCCTTTAATCCCAGACTCTGGAAGCAGAAGCAGGCAGATCTCTATGAGTTCAAGGGCAGCCTGCCGGACATAGAGTTCTAGGCCAGCTAGAGCAATATAGACCCTGACTAAATCAAATAGATAAATGAATCCGAGAGAGGGGAAGGGTGGGAGATGGTGCTGGAGCTTTGGAGTCCTGTCCTGTTTGTAGGGACCCATTCTTCTGAAGGAATCCTGGCGGGAGATGCTGCCCAAGAGACCAGCAGGGAACTGTACTCGGAGTAGAACGCAAGAATGCAGGCCTTTTGAAGAGGGGAAGTGGGAAGATGGGACCAGCAGGCATGTCTCTGCTCTCCCAGCATGGATCCTGTGGCTAGAGAAGGCCAGAGCAGTGGACGGGTGGGTGAGCTGAGCACCATGTATGGGCTTAGGAACCTAAGCCGTTCCTTGGCTCCATTGCACGGTAGCTATGTGACACGGTAGCCGTGTGTCATCGCTGGCTCTGCATTCCTTTCCTTTTCCCCCCTGAGTTCCTGTGAGGTGTAAGGTGCTTAGGACACAACCTTTGAGGCTTCAGATGTGGCTCAGCTGATATAAAGTGCTCACTGTTAAGTTTCAGTCCCTGGGACAAATGGTTGAGGCCACTATTTAAGGCTCACCCAGCATACCGGAAGCCCTTGGTTCCATCCCCCAACTCCCGCCTCCCACTCCCCAAGCAAGATGTCTTTGTGTGGTCCTAGCTGTCCTGGGACTCTCTGTAGACAAGACTAGCTTGGAACTCAGAAGCTCCTGCCCTTGCCTCTCGGAGGGCTGGAATAAATGGTGTGCGCTACCACAGCCTGGTTCAATTGTTTTAAATATTGAGGGCTCTTTCCAGATGCAGTAGAGATGCCTTAAGATGGATTTTAGGCAGCCAGGCCTTTTAATAACATTGGCCGCTTGCACTGGGAGAAGCTGAAATAAGATCCAGCAGCAAGAACCCCGAACAAAGGAAATGCCTTACATTTATAGGCTCTGAGGATAATCGACTCTGAGCTTAGAAGGGGCTCCGAGTTTAGCAGCCTAGTGAAAATCCTAGACAGGGCCTCGGATCATAATTTAGGAGCTAATCCTATCACCTACCCTACCTTCGGAATGCTACCTGCTCGGGCTTTAGAAGCTTAGGGTACTGATTAAATAGGGTCTCAGGCCTGGATGATCTCTACAAGGGCAGCCTGCAGGGTCTAACGAGCAGTGGATGGAACTCCGACTGGTGGCTCTGTAATCCCTGCACCAAAAGACAGAGGCAGGAGGACCAGAAATTCAAGGTCACCCTAAACTACATGCAGAGTTTGAGGCCAGCCTAAGCTACGTGAGACCCCATCTCAAACAAAACAGCAACAACAAGGGGCTGGAAGGATAGCTCAGTGGTTAAGAACACTGATTATTCTTTTTTTTTTTTTTATTGTTGTTGTTTTCGAGACAGGGTTTCTCTGTGGTTTTGGAGCCTGTCCTGGAACTAGCTCTTGTAGACCAGGCTGGTCTCGAACTCACAGAGATCCGCCTGCCTCTGCCTCCCGAGTGCTGGGATTAAAGGCATGTGCCACCACCGCCCGGCAGAACACTGATTATTTTTGTGGAGGATCCAGGTTCAATTCCCAGCAATCTCATCACAACTAGCTAACTCAAACTCCAATGGAGAGGTGATATCCGATAGACTCTTTTGGCCTGTGTGACTACCAGGTATGCATGAGATATTTATAAATGCACTCAGACAAAATACTCGCACACATAAAATAAAGATATGCAAAATGAAAAACAGGAACAAATAAAAATTTACGACCCTGTGTCAAGATGAAGCTAAACATATCCTTCCCGGCCACCAACTGTCAGAACGTGGTATCACTGGGGTGGATGAGGAACGAAAGCTCTGTACCTCCCATGAGAAGGGCATGGCCACAGATGTGGTAGCTGCTGGTGCGGTAGGAAAAGAGGGGAAGAGTTGTGTGGTTCGAATCAGCGGTGGGAACAGCAAGCAAGGTTTTCCTCTGAAGTAGGTGTCTTGACCCAGGATAGAGGGGCCTGCTGTTGAGTGGGGGAGTTCTTGGTCTAGACCAAGGAGAACTAGAGAGGAAGCCTAGGTGTGGGTGCATTCAGGATGCATTGTGGACTCTATTCTCTCTTTAAAGAGGATGATGTCTGACAATATATTGCTAGAGAGTCCTTAAACAGGACCAAATCATCCAAGAGTCAGCGTCTTGTTACTCCACATGTCCTGCTGCTAAAACACCAGCATAACGCTCCGAAGAAACAATGCGCCAAGGAGAACGAGCAGGAGGCTGCTGGACGTGCAAAACGTTTGGCCAGGAGAATGAAGGAAGCCGAAGAAAAACACAAGGAACAGGTTGCTAAGAGACAGACAGGCATAGGCTGTCCTCGCTGGGAGATTCTGCGTCGAAGTCTGAGGCCAGTCAAAAGTAAGTCTTTAAGAGTAGCAAATCACCAGGACTGGAAGTAAACAAACAAACAAAGAACCAAATAAGTACAAGAAACCTCCTCAGTGGAATGCCAGCACTCATCAGCTCTGCCCAGACACTGTGGTCCTTCAGAGGCCTCCACTGTGTGCTCCATGGGGCCTCCTGCAGCCTGATAGCTGACTCAGGCTACCTGCTTCCCTGGGGTCGGAGCTACCTTTCCCAGGTTGGCTGACTTGTACTTTCTCTTTACAATTAAGCATTGAAACTACTCCACTCATCGAACTGCTCCGACCGCTTGTTCAGAGAGAATCTGACGGGAAAATGGCGTTTGTTTTCCTCTTTTGTGTG